ATATAGACTACATAATATACAGGGGTGGCCAAAAAAAAGAGACACTTTGCCCATGGCGCACATCATCGAACTTTTCGTCGCACAGGGAGCCGATGTTAATGAAAGTTTTACGGCGAATATTCCTTAGGTGTTCCCCCGTAAACAGAAGCAGGCCCTCCTTCACTGCCCCGCCGTCTTCAGAATATGACGTCATCTGCCGTCACCGTCGAGCTCAACGAGGCTTACCGTAATCGCTCCGGCCTGAAGCTGCTACATAATTTCTTCAATGAATTAATTGTTGAATAGCTTCCAGAGACATTAGCTGTGAATATGCAAGAGACGTCGTAATCGTCTATGGTATCTCGACGACCTCGTTGAGCTCGTACCGCGCACATGTTTCCGTGGGAAAATCTTCTGATGTCGTCGGTGTAGAAGGCTGTTGTGTAGCTTGTTGATAGATTATAACGTGCTCTTCAATATTCAGTTGGGGTCATTTGGTTTGGTTTCGCGACGCGTAAATAATTCCGTTTTGAATGTTGAGTGAAGTGTCTCTTTTTTTTGGCCACCCCTGTATATGTTCACTAACCGCGTCTTGTAAATCAATTATTTCTATGCTCAAATAGGCATCAAAGAACTTATTGCCTTGAAGGCGACTTCTTCTGCGTAATGAAATGCACTGCCAATTTCAAAATATGAACAGAGAAAGGTGCATACATAAACAGTGTTTGTTTCCACGTGCTGCCATGGCAACGCCAATGCGAATGTGCTCCCCAGCCCGTGAAGTGACCGCATCTTCAGCGTTTTTGCAATATTAAAGGTGTTGATCACTCGCTAAGAATTAATTATGCTAACTCGCATTTCCTATAGTGGAGGCAAGGCAACAATGTTCTACTTTGCTTCACTGATTTCTTTTTTGTACCTGAATTTTGGAAGCCATACTCTTCTTGGAGAAATGCTGAGCATTTTTTCTTCATCAAACAATGGACCTTAATCCTTCTATTTTATAAAGCGCTAACTTTGTGTGGCGGTTTGTATTTCAGTATGTGACCGCTAATCTGCCCCAGCTTCACAAGATGATTGGTGTGTTCTGTAGATGAGTATTGTTGTTCTATTTTAGTGTTACCGGCATAAGAAGTTATTCAACCTAAACCATCCCAACACTTGAAGCATGACAATTGTTTACGCTAAGTTTTAATACTCAGCAGCTCGAGTACTCGTATTGGTTATCCAAAGCCTAATCGGCCACTAGACCATGTTAGTTTCCGAAAAATGATGGATGTTTATGGGTTTGACGAGCTGCGGAAAATGACTGCCTTATCACCGGCACTATATTAGGTTTGGAACGATTGAGATATCGCTTCCGTTTGTGCCTTTGTTTCTTGGTTCAAACACAATCTCTCAGAATGGGAGGCCACTAGGGAGCAGGGTGAATATCGCTTGAGGATTCCTCAACGGCACGTCGAGGATTCTCTGCCCGATCAGAGACGATCTCTCGCGCGGACATTCACACTCGCCATGCGTGCCGTCTGTGCTCTCCGCGCGGATGTTCACTCTCGGCACTACTCTCGCATGGTAGAGAGCTATGGTCGAGGATTTCCTCGACCGTTATTCACCCTGGGGAGAGCGATTCAGCACGCATATTGAAATCTTAGGCGCCACTGAGCGGATGTTCTTCGAGCCAAAACTTTTGCTCGAAGATGACTGATCAGAAATCATCGTCTGAGCGTATATATTCAAGCAAGAAAAACGGCCAACGAATCCCACTCATTGTGTGCAAAACATTGAGCAGTAACACTTAGTCTCTGATGCACTTTCAGCTATGGTTTCAGCTCTTCCAAGACTGAGGTAAAGGACCTGGCGACGAAGATCGTGGATTTTGACCTCTAGCTCCAAAACTTGCATAGGGATTCAGAGAAGTTTAAAAGTTCCTACGTGCGACTGTTAAGGCCTTTCAGGATAGAAATGGGTTTGGCCTATTCTGAGCGACGCGAGCAAGCAGTACTGGTTGCCAATACTGGAACTTCGCTCCATGACGCCAAGGGGAAAAGCTGAGGGTGACTTCTATAGAAACAAAGTCATGTTTTTATATGGTGATACAGTATAGCAACGGTGTACCACGGAATGCTGATTGTGGGTTATACAGTTACAGCTGAACTCTGCGTATAACAGCTCCACCACGTGGGCCGAGCTCCGCGTCGTCAAAGGGTAAATTCGGCCAATGAAAAATTATGGCACGATAATGCACATGTCGCGAAAATCTTGCAACAAGAAATCGAGGAGTTGGGCTGGGACGCTCTGCCTCTCGCGCCATATAGCCCAGGTCTGGCGCCGTCCGACTATCACTGACCCAGGTCAGCGCAACACTCCTTAGCAGCAAACCAATTCGATAACCGCGACGACGTCAAAATTTGAGTGCCCAACTTCTTCGAGTCGAACCAGAAAGAGTTCTACGCGGTAGCATCCATGCTTTGCGTAACAAAAGGTGATGAGCCTGTGACACAGGTGAAGGAAGATGGTTCAGGTTGATGTGCTTCATTATTGTTTTATAATGAAAATTGATGATCGAAAACGACATTTCAATCGTTCCAATATAATAACCTTTCGTAAATAACATCACTGAGATTCGTCAAAAGCATTCATGCCGCCTAATACAAGAACCCGACTATGATCAGTTTAACTGGAGCCTAGTTTGCCTCGCAGTAGCGAGCGAAGGTAAACTGGTCGATAATAGCACACTAAGGTCCTTTTCAATGGCTCTCGACTTAGAATATGGCAAAGTAGGCGGTAGGATGCTATGATAGTAGTGGAGTAGATGACAAGATTAGTTGCGTATGATTGAAATCGTCGGAGATTAGTAGACTAGGCGTTCCCCCAAACGAATCGTTCAATACGTATCCAATCTTGTCAGCGCATCCAACCCACTACTATCCTGGTCCATAATGTGCTCCTTTTCGTTGTTGCTTACTTCCCTATTCTCCGGGTTCTTGAACTGTGAACGCGGCCTAGTGTTATTGAAATCGGTTATTGATGAAATTAGGAACGTGTGCAGTGTTCAAACTTCGAGGATGTTTCTCTCCTTCACCATCTGTGGCTCTAGCTTCTTAAAGAAACGAAGCTAACACTCGTGCTTCCGAATTCACGCTGGAAAGGCAACCCATTTCAAATTAACTTAGCGATGGTGAGTGGTACACGAAAGAAGGAAAACCATGAGAAACGGCCCAGAACCCGAGAAATGGGACCCCTTCCTTGCCCGTTGATTTGAGCATTGATGCGACTCTCATCGCTGTGCCCTCTTCAACACTACGCTCTCTCACCTATCTAATCACTCGCCACGTATAGACCTGCGGCGAGTGATCAGATGATCGGTGGGCGTGCACTGGCCTACCACGCTAAGATTGAGCCTCAATAAGCCAACAGCCAAAAGAGTGAAAGAGGGCTAAAACCATATTGTTTCCACAGCTAATAAATCACACCGCCACATCCAACCACCACAGCCTTCGCCGCGTCGATCGCCGCGTGCGACGGCGCGGCGGCGGCCCCAGGAGGACAAACGCCCGTCTCCCCTCAATAGGTCGCTCAGGTCAACTCCAATTGCGGTGCCAATTCCGCTTCGATCCGCACCCTTATAAGTCCACAGTCCCTCAACCAAGTGAATTACTCCTTCGACATTCATTCTAATAGTGAATTCGTCCTTCGATGAAGGGAAATGGGACGCGACGTATGACTTACAATCACACGTCACACATATATGATTTTAAGGCAATGGAGCGAAAGCTGAAAACAGCACCCGACGTCCCGAAATACCAATACGTTGCATTATGGTACAAGCACGGTGAACCAGTTTTCGGTTCGTGCCTATCCCGGGAAAGATGGAAAAGTGAGTGCCGCTGCCTTCGAATGACTTGAGTGTTAAGTTCATTGTGGTGATTTGAAGCTGATGGCCAGTTTCGGAGCGAAAAACCAAGAAAACTGTGGACCAGAGATCGGATCGTTACAAATTTTGACACTACCTGATCCAAGCTGTGTAAGTGCTTTGTGACACTATTCTGTCTCTGAACAGTTAGTTCTCAAGCAGTTTTGTGGCCCCAGCGCACTCGCTCTTCGATACAACATTGACTTTGGTTTGACAGCTTTCCTTACCAGATTTTCGATAGTTCCTCTAATGTTGTGGGTGGCTGTGCATGGGAAAGCATCACCGAGAAGTCGCCCTGCTTGCAAGTCAAATTTCGCAACTAACTAAAAGGTTGCATGTTCTGCGTGCTCTAGCACGTCTGGGTGGTTTTCCTGCAGTGTTTTTAGTGTCACCCTGAGAAAACTTGTGTGTATTGCGTAATATCCCTACTATATATAAAGCGCTAAGTCTGTCTGTGTGTCTGTGTGTCCGTGTGTGTCACGAAATTCATAGCACGCGTCGCAGCAGTCGTCAGGAGCTGATTTTTTGATATGATATAGGGGGTGGGACGGGAACATATTTGGTGGGGGTCAGAAAGTGATAACGACTGATAAGAGCTGATAAGAGGCGCTAAACGCAAATTTCACGAAATCATAGCGCGCGTCCCAGCAGCAGTGGGGCGTTGGTTCCAAGAAGTGATGTGAAGGGGGGAGGGTGGGGCGGGAACATGCTTGGTAACTGTATGCCTAAGAATGTAGGCATGGGGTACAGAGAGTGATAACGGCTGATAAAGGACTGACACTAATTGTATGCCTAAGAACGTAGGCATACAGTTAGTGTCAATCTTTATCATATGAGAACACTTAAATCCGGATTCTAGATAACGCATTTCATTTCAATATCATGTCATTTGCGTTAGTCATTGTCAACATCAAACACCATTCCACCGCTACACCTCCCTAGAGTTCCTAAGGATGAAGTGAGATGCTCGAAGCAATACGATAATGAAGTACAGGGCATTTTCATGCGAACATCATGAACATCAAATATTGCTCGACCGCTAAATCACCGCGACATTCGATGCATGGTGGTTGTTTACAGACTTTAATGTCGCACTTCACTGCGTTTGTCAAACAGTGAGCCTTACCATTTACGAATCAACCTATTGTTCAGAGGTGGGACCTAACGGCTGTCCACTTTAAGCCTTCTGTAGGGAGGCGGTCATATGGCGCGATCCCATTGGCATTAGAGCGCACAGGCCGCAATTGCCCCATCCTGCTGCGGCCGGACAACTCGTCCGTATCACTCAACTACTAGACTTCAGTAATTGATCGATCTGATAATTTGGGTCTCAAAAATCTCGCTGAGTCCCAAAGATCTAAAAAAAGAGCGGATAGCTTCGCTGGCCTGATGCCAAGGCAAGAGGAACGGAACAGAATGTGTTGCGCGGACGAGTTGTCCGGCCACAGCAGGACGTGGTAATTACGGCCTGTGCGCTCCTAATGCCAATGGGGTCGCGCCATATGACGCGCACCCTTTTGTATCATGTGCGCGGTAGCGTGCGGATCTAGGCTGGTATAATGCATAGAACA